ATTACAAATTGGGTAATTATATTACCACCACAAAATTGACTCGTTACACCACAATTTTATTATTTACTTAAATGACCTTAAATAAAATTATTTAATTAACCATACTTTTAAATTTACCTTTTAAAATTAAACAATTTTCAGTGAGAATAATTAAATTAACTAATTTTTAATATATTTATCCCATAAAATATTTTATTGTTTCACCACAATCATAAACATAATTTTTTTCTTTCTTCTATATCAGTTTTTCCCCAAACTCCACGCAACTGGATACTCATGGACAATGAAAAGTATTCAAGGAAAAGAAGACATTGACCAAAGATGACAAGACAAACGATTGCTTTTCATCAAAGAAAGTATGGTGAAAAGATGCCAAACAGATTTATTTTTTCACAACCCAACCCAAGGAAAAAAAAAAGTTCAAAATTTTGACCATTGACAATTAATTTATGAAGTTTCAGCAAGGACAAAGATTATTTTATGATCACATAGTGTTTATTAAGATGATGAAGACGATTATGAATGGCCACGACAGAACTGAGTACTGCTACTATCCATTCTTTCCAGGATGAAATGCCAAGCTTGTTTTTAGATTTCACTAAATTTTCTTTGCACAAAAATTCATCACTTGTAATTCTATCCACCTTCATAATGAAATCATGAACGAAAATATGTGTTTCGGACTGGCTCCGTCTTTTTTGCTCCTAGCAAGTACGCCGAAGAGCCGAAAGTATTAGAATCCCACATTGGTTGGTGATATTAACACGATCCACTTAATAATGTGAGAGCAATCCTCCTCTAACAACCCGATTTTGTTAAGTTGAGTAAGACCCAATACTCTTACAAGTATACCATTATAAATAGTTGAAAAAACAAAACTACCCTTAATTACGTACTTCCTCCATCCCATTTATATAGGATGAGTTTGTTTTTTCACATGATTTAAGAAATTTTATTGAAAAATTAATTTTGCCAAAAACTTTCCTAATTTACCTTTATTTAATTATCACCAACTAGTAATAAATTGGGAAAAAATGATTATAATTAGGCAAATTAAATAAGGATATATTAGAAAACAAATAACACAAAACATTCTCAATAAAGAAATGAGACTACATAATTTAGACAAGAAAATAAGGAAGTCAGCATATATAAATATGATGGAGAAAGTACTATTTTGTAATTATTTATTTTTCATTAGATGTTCTTAATTTTCATCTCGTAAACTCTAAAATCAAATTAATAAAATTTAGCTCTTGTTCGGTAAAGACAAAAATAAGATTTTTGATAGATTTTAATAAAAGTCGATGAAATGCGAGGTTAGAAAGTTATATATCCCATGAAATATTCTGCGATTTCACCTACGCTTATGAGCAATTATGGAGGAAGCCACAATTCTCATGCT